AGAAAATGTGTCACTTTCGAATGTTAATTATGTCTGAAAATGAGATTAATTTAAGTTTTCATTACTATTAGGAGGCTTCATCCAAAAGATTGGGTAAACTCTTACACAATTAGAACTTCTCTGAGGACTCTCTTCTCTTGTACTGCTCAGGAAGTTTGGTTTATCCTCTTAGACAGCTGGGTACTGAGAAAAGGAAGAATGTCGCACTGCATGAAGTGCAGTTTCTCTTAGAGCAAGGCTATGCAGGTTGACCCAGAGCACTCTGCTGGGAATTGATCTGCATAGTGTAGAGATACCTGAGCCCATCCTGACCAGGGGGTCTAAAGCCAAACCATTGCTTTTCATTTTTTTATCATTTCATGAGCAAAGCCACCCACTTTCTCATTTCTCCAGATGTAAGTCCTGCTTCACACGAGTAGAATCCACTTATGGAAGGATACCTGCTCTGATAAGGGTTACACTGTTATGGGCATGGTTGAGTGATACAGGGGAAGGTGGAATGCATTCGAACTTTGAAAAAGCTGACTTTGATAGAACCATGTGTTTTGTGCCTTTAATGAGTATGCAATGGAGCAGGATTGAGCAGATACATGCAAGAATTATTTGACTGCGGTGTAACAAATGACCTAGTAGAAAGCACATAGAGAGATGCTCACTAGGAAAATGAAAATTATAACCATGGTGCCAGTATAATACCTCTATACATTTATAGAGTGTTATTAGAGTTGAAAAGACTGGCCTTACCAAGTGTTGGTGAGAATGTGGAGCGATCGGTGTCCTCATATAAGCTAGAGGATAAGTAAAATGGCACAACCACTTTGGAAAAAAGGTTGTCAGTTTCTTTAAAATCATTGTGCTTTTAAATATTTAACCAAGAGCAAAGAAAGTACATACCCACACAAAAACTTGCACATCAGTTGCTGTAGAACTTTATTAGTTCAGTAATCCTCGTTCTCAGAGTTTCACTTTCTGTGATTTCAGTTACCCGTGGGCAACCACAGTCTAAAAATATTAAATGAGAAATTCTGGAAATAGGGATTGGATGATGGTGCAGTGGTAACTCTATGCTTTTTGAGTTTCACCCATGTTCTCTCTGTGTGTGTGTGTGTGTGTGTGTGTGTGTGTGCCCATGATCTGGGGTTGGATGAGACTAGTGGTAGCTCCTAGGATAAATATCGACTTTGTGGTGTCTCTCTGTCTCTCTTTTTCTTCTGGAAGAAAGAAATAACCTTAAAACATAGAAGGGGCCAGCCCGTGGAATGGTGATCAAGGTAGCTGGATTCCATATATCCAACATCACCTTCAGAAATACTCTGAGTGTCTGTGCATGCATGCCCAAAGCCCTGAAAGGATAGAGAATTGGAGAAGGGATCATGCTGTGAACATTCCCCATAGAGGGTGCTTTCTTGCTTCTCTGTTTCTCCCTGTCTCTCTCCAGCAAGTGTGCACACACTCTGGCAAAATGAAAAGAAAGAAAGAGAAAGAAAGAAGAAATAAAGGAATAAAGAAAGGAAGAAAGAAAGAGAAAGAAGAGAGAAAAAGAAAAAAGGAAAGAGAAAGAAATAAAAGAAGAAAGAAAATCACAGAAAAGAAAATTCCAGAAATAAGCAATTCATGTTTTAAATTGTATGCTGTTCTTTTGTTGTCTTGCTCCATCCCTCTGGATCATGAATTATCCCCTGTCTGGCATATCTACACTGTCCACTTCCTTCTCCCAGTGGTCACCTGGTGGCCATCTAGATGATCAAACCTGCTGTCACAGTGTCACAGAGCTTGTGTTCCAGTAATCCTTATTTTTAGTTAAAGGCCCCAAAGCACGAGAATAGTGATGCTGGCATATTATTGCAGTTGTTCTAGTTAATAGTTGCTTATTGCTGTCTTATTTATAAATGAAGTTTTATCATATGTACGTATGTGTAGGAAAAACATAGTGTATATATAGGGTTAGTACTATCCGTGGTTTTTAAGTAGACCTCCATTTTGAACTCCTCTGTATATTGGAAACTTGCTTTCTCCTTTTGTCTAAACAGTGATTAACACTCCTACGATCTTTGCTAAATAACCTGAAACTCCCTACCCTAAGATGTTCTTTAGTGATGTAATCATCAGTCACCAGACCCTTTGCCCTGAGTCATGAAAACCATTAAGATTTCATTATGTTTAAGTAGGGATGGAACATACCCTTAAGGAATGATTAACCTGCTTGTTTTGTTTCTGTAATTCACTTTTGCTTTTACATTGTAAAACCCTAACCCCCTACCCTTTCAAGCCCACCTCTCTTGGTTCTTGTGAATCACCATGTCATCCCAGAAGAGATTATGATTTTTGCCTATATAAGTGCCCTTCTCCCTACCCTCAGGGCTGCAGGGTTTTGAGAGACATGAGTCTCCCCCCCCCACCCTGTACACTGCCAGTTTAATCAATAAACTCCAATAAATTTGGCTGTGTTTGGATGTCCTCTTATTTTTTGGGGGAGGTCTTGTAACACATCCTCCATGGATAACGGAGGACTGTTGTAATAGCCAAAAATTAGCGCAAATTATGTATCCTACACATATCCTACGATGGAATACTACTCAGCAATAAAAAGAACAAGCTATCCATACATGCCACAGCATGGATAAGTCTTAAAAAAAAAAAAATCACACTGAAGCAAGAAGTCAGTCAGAAAGGTGAGACTTCCAAAAACTGATTTACTGGGTTGTCAGAAAAATCATGACATATATTTGCATAGAAAACCAGAAAAATATGTCATGACTTTTCCAACAACCCAATAGTATATAAACAGTGGGAATGAAAAAGAAAGGAAGAATTTTAGTTGCTTCAAAGGCAGAATTGATGAGGTTTGATTACCAGATGATGGTGAGAGAGATGATGTAGACTTCTGGCTTGGATTTCTTTATATGAATCTCACCTATTTTGGGATAAGGTTGACATAATTGATGATACTTAGACATATAAGAACTGATTATCTAGTTATTTAATGCTGAGTCTTTGATAATGGAAGACCCTTAGGAGGAATTATCTGGTAAGCAGATAAGTCATGCATGACTCTTAAAGGGCAATAAATGTACATTTTGGGTTTTAAATTAGTATTAGTATAGACTGTTAATGGAAGTATAGTAATAGAAAAAATAAGGAAGAAAACCAAAGAAACGGATTCCTAGAACCATAGGGAACAAAGAGTTGGAAGCATGCCTTATGGACACCTATTAAATTTCCATGTCACACTGGCATATTTGAATGGGTATGTGTTTGGATTTATTTAGTCATTTGATCCAAATTCTGTAATTAAGTGGCATTCAGAAGAGTTAGTGTCAGTTGTGGCCAAGAGCATGTGTTCTAGAGATTATATTCCCATCTCTGCCTTTGAAAGATAAATAGACTCTCTGATATCCATTTTCTTATCTTTTGTTTGTTTCACAATTTTTATTTCATTTTCTTTTATACATTCAATCACACTATTTAGCTTTCAAAATGAATATTCCAACAAGTGAACATTTCTCCCTAGTCCAGTTGATAAAACTATAAAATATCTTCAAAAGATAATACCACATTTCTTTGTCCTATTAATGCTTTGCTTCCCTATTTTTCTTCTAATTGTCCTTCCTCAGACTCTACTCTTTCACACACACTGTATCTGGTATTTACATCCATGTACTGTGTTTCTATGGGATATCAGATCTTACTTCTTCAGGTTATTGTATTCACAAGGATGGAAAGATTACAAGCAGGGAGCACTTGGAATTGGTATAACTCATAGTAAGAACTCAAAATACTGGTCTAACTCTTCTTTCTCTTCTTTTCCCCCTTCTTCTCCTCTTTCTTCTACTCATGAGGCATTCACCATACTTCAGTAATGATTGGAAAAAGTTTAATCTTCTAATCAATCATTAGAAAATAAAGGCACATTTTAGTGAGGATAGCCAGAAGTCATTGTAATGTCACCTTTACTCATCTTAACTCACTTCTCAAGTCACTTACTTATATCTGCTTTTCATTAGTCTTTTATATGTTGTGAAAGGAAATGGGTATGACTTAGTGATCAATCAAAAAAATAGATATTTAGTGACTCTGAGTCTGCCTGTGCTCCAATTTCTGTTTTGTCTAAGGCAATTTTTTTTAAGGTTATTACTATAAGGCATAAGTGCTTGCTAGAGAAATAGACAGAGACAGTTAAAGGACAAGTGAGAAATCACCCTCTCCAAGGGGGATGGCCACACCATAGTTCTTTCTCCTTCATTCACTTCTTGGGATTTTGGGCGCATGCATGTGCACCCAGCATAAATTAAAGTCTTCAGGTCTGAGATTCAAACAGTGGTCGACGATGTGGAAGTCCAGTGCTTTAACCACCATGCCACTTGCTGGCCCTATAAGGCAAATAATTTAAATTTTTTACACCTAAGTATCTTCAACTGAAAGAGAAATTAATAATAAGAGCCACATAGGGCCATTGCAAATGTCTACACAGAAAGTAAACACATATTTTTAAAGAGGTTTTTGCCTTAGGGTGTGTGTGTTCCCCAGAGGGAGAGAGAGATAGAGAGACAGAGACCATGAGAATGAAAGTGAGAAATCACCCGAGGGGGGATGGCCACACCACAATCCTTTCTTCTCCCAGGGTCTTGGGCATGCATGTACATGCACCTGGTATGATCTTGAACCACTGGATCCAGGACTCAAACCACAGTTGGCCATGTGCTGGCCACGAAAGTATAAAATTTAAATTATATTTAAGCATAGAACTTTATAGAAAATGAAGTAGGTTTCACAAGTTGATGTGTTTCTTTAGATGTGACACAGAGGCACTAAGAAACTTAATGTCACATTGAAATGCACTGATGCAGATAGGTCTAAAAATAGTTATTTGACTTTCCTATAGAGTGTGCTTTTAGCACTCTTCATCTAATAGAAAACAGTACAAATCCCTGGTTGCATTAATTTCACCAGTGACGAATACTTTCCATTCTAAGTCAGAACGTTTTCTGATCTTGTTTCAGGATTTGTGGATTTGACCCTCCATGACCAGGTCCACCTTCTGGAATGTGCATGGCTAGAGATCCTGATGATTGGTCTTGTCTGGCGCTCCATGGAGCACCCGGGGAAGCTTCTGTTTGCACCTAACTTGCTCTTGGACAGGTAAGTGACCTGCCTATCATTTGGGAGAAGCAGGTCCTTCATTTTCATGACTTTATTCATGAAGGTATTTTATTCAGTACTCCACGAAGCTTCAGAGAACTGTATTAGGTATGCTGACTTTGCAAATGAGTGAATTCAGGAGACGAAGGCCAGTCGAATCACAGAAAATGAGAGATAAGTTTCTGGTAGACATCTCCTTAGATGAACCATAGTCAATACACACACATGCACATGCAACCATGGACTGTCATTTTCTGACTCTACTTTCATTTTGTATTATATAAGAAAATAATGAGTAACCTCCCTGTAACTAAAACCTTTTTTTTTTTCAGTCTGTGTATATGCAGACCACAATAGCTTTTTTATTTCCTTTTCCAATTTTCCCATCAGTAAAATGAGGAAATTTGACCAGTGCATTCTGAAGGCCACTTTCAATTCTAGAAATTCATCTCAGGTTTAAAATGTGTCACTTTCATTCATGTGTTATACTTGGGTTGCCTTTGCATTTGTCTTGAAGTATTAGGTTTTTTTTTTTTTTCTTTTCTTTTTCTTGTTTTGCCATATGTTCATGCAGATTCAGTGTCTTATCTTCCCTACCAGCTCTTAAAATATTTGTGGTCAGGAACTGGATCTTGTTCATCTTTAGGTGACCTCAAGTGTACAAAATCTCTCATGATATGTAGGTGTTCTGGTCCATTGTGTTATTAATAACAGAAATAATAATAATAATGGAAATGTATAAAGAATTAGGGCTTATTTAGCTCATAGAGTTTTGGAGGTCCAAGACTGAGGGGCTGCATTTAGTGAGAGTCTTCTTGTTGGTGGGTCCTGAGGCATCTCAGAGCATCACATGGCAACAGCCATGAGCAGAGCAGAGCATGTGTGTCTGTGTGACTCTGTCTCATCCCTCCTCTAAATTCACCCGGAGTGCATCATGGAAGCTGTACCTTAATCACCCCTCAAACTTCATATTTGAGCCCCATAGGCATATTAAGTTTCCTCTTAATACTTTCAAAATACAACTGAATTCGAAGAACTTTTGGGGGACACACTCAAACCGTGCAGTGGGTTCAATCATTTTTTTCTTTTGTCAGTCATTGCTTAGAGTAATAGGATTTAGATATATTAATGGTTTAATAGCAGCTGCCACTCATGGGACCCTTCCTTTGTACCAGCTGCTGTGCTACCTCTGACATACAATATCTCATTTAATCATCTTAGCACTCCTAGAAAGCCTGGGTCTTTTATTTATGTATTTATTTTTTCCATGAGAGAGGCAGAGATGGGGGGAAAGAGCAAGAAAAACAGAGAGAGAGAGAGAGAGTGAGAGAGAAAGGGATAAGTGGGCATCCCCAATCGGATTTCCAAGGTCCTGAACCCAGGACCATCCCACATAAGCCCAGCATTGTGAGCATTGTATTACCACTGCACCACCAGATGGCCCCATGGAAATCTTCTCATTCATGTTTTACCAGAGCTATATCCTGCTATTGGCATAAGACATAAAGCTAGTGAGTGCTGGAGTCAGGATTTGAATTCAAGATCGTTCTGCTTTGGTGCACTGTTGTCTCTTGTTCAAGGCTCGTGTCCTTCCCAATTGTTCCTGTTGTAATGGCTTCTGTGGTTTGCAGTTGAGCACTCTGTCCCCAGGCACACATTGTCTTGTAGGCTACATAACAAAGTGGATGGCATGTGGGAGTCCAGCTCCCTTAACCACCATGCCACCTGCGGGCCCCATGGAAAGGACCCACTTGTGTTTTTGCACACTTATTTTGCCTCTGTGTGCAACGGTCCAAGGCTGCCAGGTTGCCTGCATTGCATCTTTACACAGTCCTCTGCTTTGGAGCACCAGGCCACCTCCCTGTCTCCTGCCCTGCTCTGGGACGTACTGTCCTCACCATGTTCCCTGGAGTAATGCTATAGAAAAATGTCTTTAAGTGCTGGAGAGTTATTCCAGATGTTGGTTGCTATTTGTCCGTGTGTGTAAATACAGCTTTTGAAGCTGTGATGATACTGCTTAAGAAGCAAATTTTACCGCCTTCAGAGCCTATTCTGAGAGCAGTTTCACAAAAATTATTGAGAATGGCCGCTAATCTGGCTTCTTAGAACATTCACTTAGCATTCTGTCAACCTTTTTTTTTAGGTTGTCTTTATAGTGTTCTTTTTCTTTTCTTAACTTTCCATTCCTTACTTTCCTTAGCTTGTTATTTTTTCCCCCTTTCTATGTCATTTCTCCTCTATTTCCCTTTGCTCTCCTCTTCCTTTTTTTCCTTCACTTGTTTTATTTATATATATATATATTGTTTTTTTTCTTACACTAGTGCGGTTCTGTGACCAAGTTATAGCAAGTTTGCAGGTGAAAATCTTAGACTAGGGAACCAGCAGTTAGCGTAATGGCTATGTCGCTGGACTCCCACGTAGTCGACCGCGGTTCGTGTCCCGGACCCGGTGGCTTAAAACTCACGCCGGGCGCGTGTGCGTGCATGCCCAAGATCCCGAGAGGAGAATGGAGGAGAAGGGATTGAGGCGTGACCATCCCCCCTGGGGGGTGATTTCTCGCTTTCTGTCTCTATGTCTCTGTCTGTCTGGCAAGCGCACGCGCCCTACAGTGAAAATCTCTCAAAAAAAAAAAAATCTTAGACTACATGCAATTTTTCGCTACTATAAGTTGGAATGTGTCTTCTGTGTTTAGATTCTGGGATGTTTGTAAGCAGTCATGGATTTCACCTCCTTCCTCACCAGATGATCTGTCAGTTAACTGTCAGATCACTTCTGAATCCAGACTTCCCTTTGTCTCCATTCGACTACCCTCACCGAGGACCAAGATGGCCCCTCCCAGCTCACTTGCCCCTCCCCGTGTCTGTTTTCCTTCCCCTGCTATGTCGCTGGACTCCCACGTAGTCGACCGCGGTTCGTGTCCCGGACCCGGTGGCTTAAAACTCACGCCGGGCGCGTGTGCGTGCATGCCCAAGATCCCGAGAGGAGAATGGAGGAGAAGGGATTGAGGCGTGACCATCCCCCCTGGGGGGTGATTTCTCGCTTTCTGTCTCTATGTCTCTGTCTGTCTGGCAAGCGCACGCGCCCTACAGTGAAAATCTCTCAAAAAAAAAAAAATCTTAGACTACATGCAATTTTTCGCTACTATAAGTTGGAATGTGTCTTCTGTGTTTAGATTCTGGGATGTTTGTAAGCAGTCATGGATTTCACCTCCTTCCTCACCAGATGATCTGTCAGTTAACTGTCAGATCACTTCTGAATCCAGACTTCCCTTTGTCTCCATTCGACTACCCTCACCGAGGACCAAGATGGCCCCTCCCAGCTCACTTGCCCCTCCCCGTGTCTGTTTTCCTTCCCCTGACCTATCTGTCTTTCAGCCCATCCTGACAGTGCTGCTGGAGACTACTTGCTGGGGAACATCTGTAATCAAGGTGTTCCCTGATTCAGCTTTCTTTGGCTCTCTCACTTGTTTGGAAAGTGCTATGATGGAGACATCTTATCTTTTCTTCTTTTCTTTTTTTTTTTTTGGAAAGTTTTTTTTTTTTTTTTTTTGCTATAGGGTGCATGCGCTCGCCAGAAAGGCAGAGAGAGACAGAGAGACAGAAAGCGAGAAATCACCCCCCAGGGGGGATGGCCACGCTGCAGTCCCTTCTCCTCCATTCTCCTCTAGGGATCTTGGGCACACACGCACACGTGCCTGGCGTGAGTTTAAGCCACTGGGTCTGGGACTCGAACCGCGGTTGGCTACATGGGAGTCCAGCGACATAGTCATTACGCTAACTGCTGGTCCCGAGACATCTTATCTTGACAGTAATGAATGTCTATCACCCGGTCATAAACAAATATCTGCAGAGCCAGTCAGAAGAGGTACATGAAGCAGCCAGTTGGTGAAGGTTCAAAAGAGTGCTAGGAACTCTGTGAACCATTGAGCTCTTGTCTAGGCCAAAAATACCGTCATGGAAGTTAACCCAAGAGCGTGCACAAACTTCACACATTCAGCATTTTCTTCATGTGAAAGTCCTTCCACTGTTATGGTCCCTTGTTAGAACGACAGCCCTTTCCTGGGCTCATTTCAGTTGCCACTCTTCCTTAAACCTGCCTTCACACTCTAACTCAGACAGAAAGTAGCTGTCTGTGGTCCAGCTTCTCCTTGTACTCATTTGCATTTCTTTCTCTCTCTCTCCTTTGTTCCCCATAGTTTGTTTGCTTATTTATTTTTCATACATTCAACCACTGTATATCGTTACAGTTTATAAGATGAATTTTCCCAGCATGACTACACTGTATATTAGCCCAGTTAAAGATATTATCATACATGTTATCATCATCAGATAATTTTCCATTTTTGTGTCCCTTAAATGTTCTGTTTCTTTCTTTTTCTCCTTCATTCCCTTTGCAGTTGTCTTGAAGTATTAGGTTTTTTTTTTTTCTTTTCTTTTTTTGCCATATGTTCATGCGGATTCAGTGTCTTATCTTCCCTACCAGCTCTTAAAATCCTTATGGTCAGGAACTGGATCTTGTTCATCTTTAGGTGACCTCAAGTGTACAAAATCTCTCATGATACCCAATAAATGTTTGTTAATGGCCCTGGCCAAGGTCACCTACATAGTTTGTGACAAAATCAGGAGAATGCACATCTTCTCATAATCATTTCAGCTGTTAATGTCATCAGACTCACTTATTTCTTATTCATTGCTACTTATAAATTTCTGGTTTATTTCTTTATAGACTTTGCAGAAATCAATATCTATCCATCTCAGTTTTATTAACTGCTAAATGTGGTTGGCTTGTGTTTGTATTTCTAGTTATACGCTACAAAACTGTTATGCAACTTTTAAATTCTAAATGGAAATATGCAAAGGATCTTGTTTTTACCATAATTAAACTTATTATGAAGTAAAATTCTTGAAGTCCCATTACATTTAAAAGTATTTAAGTACATGCGAATGGTGAGCAAAGTGAATAAAGAAATAATATCAATGTATACATAAATATAAATATTG